TTTGGTACGCCACGGGGAGTTTGCCAGACTCTGCTGTGTGGGCAGGCTACATTCGGTAGCCTGCCAGTTTGTCAAAGTAGGAATGAGATGTCATAATAAGATGTCGCACGGCCGCAAATGTGGCCGCGCGGTTCCGGGAGAAAGAGAAAATCCTAATAAACCAGGAGAGACTTTACTGAACTGTTTATCTTATCACTTACTTTCAGGTTTGGAAGCAATTATAGAAGAAATGCATTTAATCTACACAAAATTGAATAAGGAGATGAGAGTCACTGGCTTTCCCAGGAATAATGAATTACTCATTATCCAGCACTAAGAAACAAGGACTTCCAGTTTTTCTGAAGTGATTTTCACAGATGAAGAGATAAAGGTATCAAATATAGACTGAAGAGATACCTTAAAAGCCTTGTATGTTCAAGGTCCTGACTTGAATCCCTGATACCATATGTCCCCCAGCACTGAGGTCCAAACTCTGAACACTGGGCCAAGCATTGCTGGGAGTGGTCATTATAAAAATAAATTACAATCAAGAATATCAGATCTGGGCTGGAGCGACAGTATAGCAGGTAGGGCACTTCCCTTGCATGCGGCCAACCTGGGTTAGATTCCCAGTGTCCCATATGGTAACCTGAGCACTGCCATGAGTAATGTCTGAGTGCAAAGTCAGGAGCAACTCCTGTGCATTGCCTAATGTGACCCAAAAAAGCAAAAAAAAAAAAAAAAAAAAAAAGAGTATCAGATCTAATGTGAAGAACAATTCCTAAATGCTGACCAAGTGTTTCCTGGAACACAAACCATCCCCTCTAATGCGTAGGAAAACTACTTGCAAGCACTTGGATCCAGAGAAATCTTGTGGATCGATCCTCTCTTGGGAAGTAACAGTAAATAGCCTATCAGGATTCAATCAAAATAAAACATTTTCCTGACATTTGCTCACCCATGGGTTGGAGCGACAGCACAGCAAGTAAGGCATTTGCCTTGCACGCAGCTGACCTGGCCAACCCAGGTTCGATTCCTCCTTCCCTCTCGGAGAGCCCGGCAAACTACCAAGAGTATCTCGCCCACATGGCAAAGCCTGGCAAGCTCCCTGTAGCATATTCGATATGCCAAACACAGTAAAAAGTGTCACAATGAAGACGTTACTGGGCCCACTGGAGTAAATCGATGAACAATGGGAGGATAGTGACAGTGACAGTGACAGCTCACCCATACATACAAGTCAGGAAAAAGACCCAAGACCTAAACCAAGCCTTCTTGGGCAAGCTTCCCATCTGCTCATGCATTATGCCTAGCTGGTTTGGGGGTTTGTCTGGGGGACCCTGCAGTACCAGGGATTGAACCTGGCCCCCTAACACGCAAAGCCTGTGCTCCACCATTTGATCTATCTCGCCAGCTTAAGTTTTGCCTAACTCTGATGTCACATATCACAGGTGGTTATGGTCTCTATTCATTATCCCTTACTTATAAAGTGCTTTTGCCGGTAAAAGAAGGTGGCTCTAACTAGGAAAAAAAATAGTTCTTAACAAAAGTGAACTGTGAATCAGCCACTCTGCCAAATATATCTGACCCGCTGTATCTGTTCTCAGCAAATTATTAGCATAGCTACTGCAGTACGGATTCTAAAAAAGAACAAGGTGTCAGTTGGGAGAACGGGATGCAGTATGCTTTGGTCTGCTGATAAGAAAGGTTTGGCAAAGATCAACGGATTATTTCTCCATCCTAAACTCTTACTCGAGGTGGTACCCACAAGTTCCTGAATACAACTGGAATTGTATATTGACTGGAATCTAAAAGCAAAGAATGGGGCCAGAGAGATCATACATGGGGCTAAGGTGCCTTACTTTGCACGAAGTCAACTCTGGTTCAATCCCCTGGCACCACATATGGTCTCCAAGTTCCAGCAGGAGTGATCCCTGAGTATGGAGTTAGGAGTAAGCCCTGAGCACAGCCGGGGGTAGCCCACCCCCAAAAATAGAAAAACAAAGACGTAGAGTCATCACAGAAGAGAATATGAAAGTCTATTTATTTGCAATCATTACAGTAGAGGCCTTATTTTAAGAAGAATTAGTGTCCTGACCCTCAGCCCTCGTTGGCCTTCCTTGAAGCCTCACCATTATTTCTGAATGCTTTAAGGCCAAGATAAACTCTGCCTAGTGCATCCAACTTCTCTAGTGACCTTCACAGAATGTATTCTCTCCTCTCAATTTTTACAGCCCAATTCCCTCTTGAGATGCTGCTCTCATGTGTCCTGATAAATGATTTGGGCAAACGGAAACTTCATTAGACTCTGAGCTACTTAAGACAGGCGGGACCAATACTTATCCCACAAGTATCATATGCCCCATTCTACAGAACAGTGAAGAGCTATTTGAGGTTATGCAACAGGTAAGTGCTATGACTGACCTTGAGCATTTTAGGGAAGAGAGCTTTGAAGCAGAGCTTAGGGGTCCAGAGGACACTCCCAGTGATAGCCTGGCTGTGCATGCCTGATGGTTCTGTCCTTGGGCCTGGCAACGAGGTCATGCTTAGGTCCAAGGATACTAGGGGTAGACCTAGTGGTTCTCTGAGGGAGTGGGAGTTATATGGTGCCAGGGATCAAATTCAGGGCTTCTACATGCAAAGGCATATACTGCAGGCCTCTCAGCTATCTTCTAGGCTCCTTGATCATTATTTTTTGTTTTCCCTCCCTTATTTTGAACATTTTTGTACCTTCACATCATACCACTTCTTAGAGTACTGATTCCAACATCCTAAATACTAAGAAAAGAAATATTTACATTGTTGGTCCTAAGAAACTCTCTCTACTACATTCTGTTAGCCTACCCCCCCCCCCCCCGAGCATTATAACCAAAGGCAGAGTCACTGAATCTAACAGATACATAAAAAAGAGACTAACTAAAATAAAATAACCCAGTAGAAAGGGGTAGAAACCCATTATCCCATTTCATTGTAGAACTTAGATTGGAAAGTTGAGAAATATTCCACAAAGCCTTCCTGCTCACCTAAGGTACGATCATCCTTTTTTGGTTGGGTTTTCTTTCTCGGAAAGGGGACTGGGCGGGGGGGGGGGGGGGGCGGGAGGAGTAGGGTGTCACACCTGGAGATGCTCAGGGCTTACTCCTAGCTCTGTGCTCAGGGGTCACCTGGCAGGGTTTGGGGGAACCGTGTAAGGTATTGGAGACTAAATCCAGCTTGGTCACATGCAAGGCCACCACCCTACCTGCTATACTCTCTCTTGGTCCCAATAAACATAAAGAAGTTTTTTTTCTTCTGTTTTATTTTTTATTTTTCAATTTTTATTTTTTAATTTTTTTTTTTTTTTTGAGGGAACAGTGGAACCTAATGGCTTTCAGGATCTATTCATGGCTCTGTGCTCTGGAGTGACCCCTGGCGGGGCTTGGGGGACTACATGTGGTATTGGGGATAGAGAGAACTTCGAACATAAGAAAAGCAAGTGCCTTAACACCTGTACTACCTCTCTAGAGCTCCACATCATCATCAACACACAGCTCTTGATCTTATACCATGATCACTGCAATAACATCTAAGAACAATAATATCCTTTCTATCACCCAGGCCCTTGGCTGGACATTGGGATATATTTTCCAACTGAATCCTTGCAACAAGATAAGAAATAGATGCTGTTATTATCCTAGTTTGACCTATGAGGAACGTGTGGTGTGAAGGGAAATCCCCACAGCTTGTCAGTGAAAAGGAATTTGACCTCACCACTCTTCTTAGAGTGTTTCCAATTGTTTTAATATTTAAATATGAAATAGCGCTAATACAGCTCTAAGACTTCCAACTAGGGAAGTGCTGTGAGAGAAAGATTTCCTCCAGCACCTTCAGTGAACTCAACCCTCTCTAGATGGATGAACTGCCACATTTTTAAAATTATTTTTATTGTTTATTTTTTTTAATCACTGTGAGATACAGTTTCAAAGCTTTCCTGTTTGAGTTTCAGTCATACAGAAATCAATCCCCCAACCCTCCATCAGTGCACATCTTCCACCACCAAGGCCCCCAGTATTCCTCTGCCCCATCCCACTCCTCCCCCTGCCTCTATGGCAGACAATCTCCACCATACTCCCTTTTGTATTGCTTGTTATGAATAGCATAAGATGTCCTGGAATTCTAAAATTTTAGATAATTAGGGTCTGGAGAAATCTCTGCAGTGAGTTGCTTGTTTAGAAGATTCTTTTGTGTGTCTCTGGATTCTGGCTGTTAAGGAGCTTAAGTAGCAGCTAGAGGCAGTTTGTGGGTGTGGCTTCCAGGGTCCCATGGGAATGGGGGTTGAGAGGGACCCATACCCTATCCCTTGAGACCTGGAGTTTGCTGTCACTGAACCCCTGTATCTGCACTCCCCACTGGGCTCTGGAAGTTGGCAGCCCCTGAGTTTTCAGAGGACAGGTGGAGGGACAATGTCTGATCCTGTCTGAGGCACCCAGTGAAGTCGGCCTGGCTTAAAGTCTGGAGGCATCTTTGCAGAGAGCTGCTCAGTTTGGAGATTCTTTAGTGTATCTCTGGATCATGAACTGCCACATTTTAAGGAGCTGTGAAGGGTTCTACTGATCAGGACATCTGAGTTCTCTGAACACCTTACCATGGACAGTCTGTAAGGCTATCACTAGTGCAGGGATGCATGCCCAACTCTTGGGGAAGCCAGTGGCCATGTTGTGGAACAGTCAGACAGCCCCAGAGAGAGACCCATGTGGGGTGGAACGAATTCTGCATTGTTCACTTGCCAGTTCTGTGAGTGAGCCTTCATGGAAACAGATCCTCTAGTCCAGTCATTGGATGATGTCACCCTCAGCCAATGTCCGACTGTGGTCTCATGAGAGATTTTTAACCTCCCAGTAGCCCAAGTGTGAGGGTTTCCACAGAGCAGGCATGTGGCTAAAGAGTGCCCCCCAAAAAACCACAACTCATGGAGCAAACCTCAAGAGGTGCAAAGTCAGAGGGGGTTAGGAACCGAGGTGCCTCCCATGCTGGACATTTACCATCATTGAAGCTGTCGCTGGTGGCAGCATGAACAAACGGTGACTGTGACCGGGGCTCCTCACACAGGGAATAGCTGTGCTCAGCCTGGATGAGAGGCGCCGGGGATGTGGGGGATGGCTCCACCTCCATGGACACACTCTTCTCGGAGAGAAAAGGGTCGTTCAGGAGCTGGCCCAAGACGTTCTGGGAAAACTCATCCAGAAGTTCTGAGAAGTGCTACAAGAAACAAAGAAAATAGAATTCAGTGCCCCTGAGTTAGGATCAGATATGTACAAGACCATTGGAAGGGAAATGTATCGCCCATACTTCAAATGAAATGACTAAGCTTCAGGGTCCAGTTACCTATGACCATGTGGCACACACCTGTTCCCCCCCCCACACACACACACATCCCCAAAGTTTAGTAGTTTAGTAGAACCATACTCTATCACCAGGAGAGAAAAACATTCATTCAAAAGAATGTATGCACACCATTATTCACTGCAGCACTCGGCACAATAGCTAAGACTTGGAATCAACCTAGAAGCCCAACAACAGATCAGTGAATCATGAAGATGTGATACACACACACACACACACACACACACACACACACACACACTGGAAAACTATGCAGCTGGAAGAAATGGTGGAATCATGCAATTTTCAGCAACATGGATGGAACTGGAAAATAACGTGTTAAATAAGTAAGTCAGAAGAAGAAAGATGAACACATGTGTATGTGGTGTTTAGAACAGCTGGATGAGGAAATGCAACATCTTAAAGGGGGCTGCCCTTTAAGAAGGCACTGTCCTGCATTTCTACAGCATGAGGGAGGTGTTTGCAGCCACGTCAAGTTCAAAGGCATCAGAGGCAACTTCTTTCTAGTCTCCCCACCGCCTGAATTTGCTACTCTCTGGTTTTCCCTTAATCTCCCTCCCCGCTTACTGGCAACACCAAAAACTCTCCATGCCATGCAAAGACAATAAGACTGGTCTATGAATAAATCCACAAGGATATCCACAACCTCTTCTAATCCTCCACTCTACTTCCTTGGCAGGGGTAATCAGGATTTGCAGGTTTGTGGATGGAACTTCTCAAACTCTGCACTTGGATGACTTGGATGACTTGGATGACTGCCGGGGGGGGGGGGGGGGGAGGGCGGGGCAGAGATGTTGGATGCTTCTATAGGATGTTTCACAGCATCCCTTCTCCCCTTCAGAAAACCAAAGATGACTCCAGACACTGGCAAGTGTCTCTAGGGGGGAAAGGGGCATCTTTGCTAGAGAGTGGCCTTTCTGTCAGAGGGTATATATTAATTAAAAGAACATGTAGAAACAATCAATACTAAAATGAATGTTTTGGAATAACCATTTAATCCTGACACTGGCTATTAGAGCCACTTTCAACTCTTTTAATACTGCCCAAGTTACAGACAACTGTCCTTCAAGACAGCAGTGGACAGAGGTGGACGTAGACCCAGCCAGAGAACCCCCCACCATGCTGGCAGACAGTGACAGCTCTGGGGACTCACAGGGATAAATCAGTCTTAGAGCTGAACTCAGTGAAAATGGTTTTTGTGGAAATGAGGCAGCTTAGAAAGGGGAAGTTCAAAGACTACACAGTCTTCTTCAGGGGAGGAGAGAGGAGACAGCCAGCATGCAGGCCTTGTCGGAGAGGTGCTTGAAGGATGCTAGACATGTGGGTTCCACCAGCATCCCAGACAGGACCATGAGAGAAGACCCGGTCTCCTCGGGAGAGATGTGAAGAATCCACAAGTGAAGCAAAACACATGTCACCAAAAGCTACCTTCCAATGGGCATAAATCTGGAGACATGTCTCTGCAGACACGTTTTGAACCGAAGAGCAAGAATTCCAAATACTCCCCACCCCCACTCCCACACTTCAACTACCTGGAGAATTTTGTTTCCATCCTGTTGAGACAAACTATTTGAATTGTCTGGAAAAACTAGAGAGAATAATGCCATGAAAAAAGTATGTGCTTTTTTCAACAATCCTTTCTCTCTGAAGAAGTGAAATCTCAAGGAACTAATCCAGCTCCCACTCATTCCACTTTTGATCTCTGAATATAAATTTGCAGTAAACTTTGTGTGTATGATTCCCATTCAGGTCTTCATGCTTATTCCAGAGGTACGTTTTCACTGCATACAGATTAATTTGTTAAACTTGAAATATATATATTTTTATGTATTATATAACTATGCCACATCCTTCCCAACTTTGTTTCCTCTTCATTCTATAATAAGATTTATTCATATTTACACAAACAAGCTTGAGTGGGCATCAGTAACGTCTCCATTGTGAGACTTATTGTTACTGTTTTTGGCATATTGAATATGCCATGGGGAACTTGCCAGGCTCTGCTGTCCGGGCAGGATACCCTCAATAGCTTGCCCGGCTCTCCGAGAGGGATGGCAGAATCGAACCCAGGTCAGCGGCATGCAAGGCAAACACCCTACTCACTGTACTATTGCTCCAGCAGAGTCTCCTGCCTCCACGACAGGATGTCTTCACCAGGGCCCCTCGGAGGGGGGTGGGTTAAGTTTCCCTCCCCGCCCCGAGCAGAGCCCCAGCAGCTGAAGACCAGCTGAACCCAGCCACAGCCATGCTCAAGGCCACTTTCCACACACTCAGACAAGCTTCATGCATGAAGGAACTGGCAGAGGAACCCAGGTGTGCGGGACCTGGGGCTGAGATCCCAAGCCTGCTTGAATCAGGACTGGGCCTCCTCCACCCAGGCCCCCCATTTTCCAGTAGCTAGGCAGTCACACCCACAAACTGCCCCCAGCACCATGCAATCCCATCAATGGCCAAGATCCAGAGACTATAAAACAAAGCTTCCAGAAGTGTATGGTCACAACCTCTTATAGTCTAGTTCTCCCTCTCGGAGAACCTGGCAAGCTACCAAAAGTATCCTGCCTGCACACAGAGCCCGGCAAGCTCCTTGTGGCATATTCGATATGCCAAAAACAGTAACAATAATGAGTCTCATTACCCTTACCCTGAAAGAGCTTCCAATGCGGCACTGTTGGGAAGGACAAGTAAATAGAATCTGCTAAAATCTCAGAGCTAGGACGAATGGAGACGTCACTGGTGCCTGCTCAAGCAAATCGATGAACAATGGGATGACAGTGATACAGTGATACACAAACAACTCAATGTCATTCATTAAAACTTCTGAATTGTATTCCATTGCATGCATCTATTTTCTCTGGAGGGACACTGAAATATTCTTCATTACATAAGATACTCACAAGAAACATTTTTGAACATGAAGAGGAATGAACAACAACCACAAACGCTCTATGACCTACTTTCAGAGATGTTAACTTCCAAGATGAAGGGATTCGATCTTAAAAACCACAATTCTAAAGCTCGGATTCATTTTTCAGCCACAGAGGATGATCCTCATCCCCCCCCCAAAAAAAATTTACAGTTATGTTCCCAGAAGTTTAGACAGACCCAAGATCAGGGGAAACTTCATGGATTTTGCAGCTACCACGAGCTAAATTTTAGATGGTTTTGAAGATCCAGAATCATAGTAGGCGGAAGAAGCATGTGACCCTCTGTGAGCTGAACATTTGTGTGTGCACATAAATCACTCGGTCTTTTCAGTTAGACACAAGTTTACAAGTCTAAGTGGACGCTGCATGTCTTTTGCTAGAAACCGTCCACAGACCAGACTTTGCAGAGTTTCCAGGCTAAGTTTAGACTCCAGGTTTCTAACCATAATCTGCTCTCTGGCTTTGATTTACTGCTTGGTTGATGGTGGATTCTCTGCAGGGTTTTAGAGACTTCCCTTTTCATTTTTGGAAAAGAGCCCTTGATCTGGTGATGCGTTTTTTGCTCAGCCCCAGGGGAACCAGCAGCTATCAGGACTACACCCCGCAGTGCTTAGTGGAGGTCAAACTCAGGGTTTTGCGATTCCCAGTCATGAGCTTCACCCTTGGAACCACCTCTCCTCAGCCCACAGAGTTCCTTTTGAGTTCAAAATTAGTATTTTTTAAAAAGGCAGCTGGAGAGATAATACAAGGGTTAAGATGTTTGTCATGCATGAAAGAGCCCCTAGTTCTTCCTATCCCTGGCACTGAGTACAGTCCCCTAAGCACTGCCAGGGTCATTCCTCAGCACAGAGCCAGGAATAAGCTCTGAGACTTGCTTGGTGTAGCCCAAACACACACACACACACACACACACACACACACACACACACGCACGCACAGTTAGAAAGAAAAGCAGCCCTTCATTCCGGAGAGGTTCCATCCCAGCTGAACTGAGCGACTTCTCTTCCTTACTCTATGACACATTCCTTCTTGGAGCGCCCACAATCCTCTGCTCAGAGGATGCAACTTTTCTCTTGATTTTATGGTGCACAGCCCTCTGGGAGCAGAACTGGTATCCCGGCCAAGGCAGCGGAATCCCTTTACTTTCTGGATCTCTCTGACTCTATACATTTCAGAACTGAATCCAAACTCTCTATATTTCCAGGCCACAACTCTTGATGTCTCTGTGTCGGCACGCTCATGTTAGCCAGGGTATCCGCCCTGCTCAGCCTCGGGACTCCATCCTATCGGGAGAACCTATCACGGGCCTCCGAGCAGGAGGACCCTACCAGAAGGAGTGGCGCCTGGGTGTGGGATTAAGAGAATTTCACCAGGAGGATCTCTCTGACGACTCCCACCTTCCTGCGCAAGCTGTGCAGGTCAGGCTCGTCTGCTGACACTCTAGTTTTTCTTTCTCCTGAGCAACACTAATGAATGTTTTCACGCACATACCTTGGATAACCGATAATAAACCTTCTCAGATTCTGCTAGCATTCCTCAAACTCCCCCTACTCTGGACTTTGCAGTAATTACCTTGCTACCAAATCAAGACAGACAGCCTTAAGGATAGACAGCCCGGAAGAATTCCTAGTGGCTATCAAGTGTCTGGCTGTAGCCTCCCTTCTAGAAAAAGGGCCTGCTGGTTCTTGGAGAAAGGGAGCGATTGGGTCTGGCTGGTTCCCTACCCTAAAAATGTCACAAAGTAGTGAGCACTGAATAGATTCAGGGGAGACACAAGATTAAAACAATATGTTTAACTTGTTCCAAAAAGACGCTGTAACTCAGCCAGCAAATGAACTCCAGCTGGGCTCCTTGGCAGCTGTGGGCAGCAGGGTTCAGCAGACAGCGCAGGGAACAGGCTAGACTCAGACCATCACCAACACGGAGGAGGTC